TTCTATATGGGTACTTTTGCACTACAAAGGCAGCAGTGATAGTTGTGAAGAGATTCTGTGGTCTGCAGAGCCTGACATACTTGTGTGACCTGAGTTGAAGAAATATTTCAGGAGGCCATTTACATCTGCTTTTGCAGATGAGGCTTTTCTCATTTACAGAGCAGGTTTTAATACTGTTGTTTAGTATTGGGGTTTCTCTGCCATATAGACAATGTGAATTTCACAACCCAACCATCTGATTGGCACAGGCTTTCATAAGTGACTTTTGTTTTCCATACAGTATACCAGTGGACTTAATGTTCTTTTCTGCTGCTTTGGGCTTAGATATATTTTAGTACCTTTTACACAGAGAGAGGCTACACTTGAAGGCTTTAAGCATTATAAATATGGTTCAGGTTATCTCTTAAGTATGCCAGAGATTATGTCTCCTGGTCCTCTGGGTTTTGAAACCCAAACCCACTAGCTCTTGCTTGTCTATTCCCATGTATAGTAAACTTCTGTCACTAGCTCAAGCTTCTCTTTAACATTCTTCTTTTGAATCCCAGTTTTATTTTTAGCACTGATAATTCCCTTTTCTTTTAAAGGGCTATGTTTTGAAAAAAAAAGTTTTGGGTAAATTTTAGTCTTAACTTTCTATGTGTATTTTTTTGAATTTTATTGCGAATGCCAAGCATATATTTTTTTAATGTCTTACATCTGTTTTGGAGCACACATATTTTTCAAAACTATGTATTTTATTTGCATATCAAATGCTGTATTTTTCATTATGTTCTGTTTTCAGTTTTTTTCTGTTTGTATGTATATAAATGAAGAGCCATCTGGACTAGTTTTAAAATTTAAACAAAATGGTATGGATGACTTCTCTTTAGTTTTACTCATGTTACAGAACCAAATTGTTATTAGAACCTTTCAAGTAACAGTGAATCCTGGAAGAACTGTTAGGTACAAGCTTACATTACCTTTTGATCCAACAAGCTGGTGGTAGTGGAGAATAGAGCATCCTCCTAGGCTTCATGGTGTATCCTTTTCCTGTGTGTTTGATACAGTTGTTACTCCTGGGTCCTGCTCTCTATAACATGCCTTCTCCTTTGCCATTGCTGCCATACTAGTTACAAACTGCAAGAATGACCATATATTTTTTTTTTCTGGAAAATTTTCCAGCAGTTAGGTCTAAATTATATCAGCCTTCTGTATGGTATGTTCATTACTTGGAACCTTAGACTTTCCTGTATCACATTCTCGCAGCAGTGTGGAGGCATACCAGTGATATGCTTCTTGATTGCACCGTAACCCAGAGCTGCCTTCAGAACTTCCCAGTTTTAGGAGGGTTACAGTTGAGCAGCATTATGCCAGAAGTCCTCCTTTGATTCCCAGAGATATAGTAGGTTGCTACTTTCTAGTTTTATTTATGTAGTTGTCATCCCAACATCTGTTGGATCATAGAAAAAGCAAGAATATTCCGTGGGAACATCTACTTCTTCTTCATTGACTACACTAAAGTCTTTGACTGTGTGGATCACAACAAGCTGTGGAAAATTCTTAAAGCGATGGGAATATCAGACCCCCTTACCTGCCTCCTAGAACCACGTATGCCAGTCAAGAAGCAACTGTTAGAACTGGATATAGAACAACGAACTGGTTCCAGACTGGGAAAGGATTACATCAAGGCTGTATATTGTCACCCTGCTTATTTAACTTATTATTGTGAAATGCTATACTGGATGAAGCACAAGCTGAAATCAAGATTGCTGGGAGTAATATCAGTAACCTCAGGTAATATGCAGATGTCAGCACCCTGACAGCAGAAAGCAAAGAGGAACAAAAGAACCTCTTGAAGAAAGTGAAAGAGGAGAGTAAAATAACTGGCTTAAAACTCAACATTCAAAAAACTAAGATCATGGCATTTGGTCTCATTACTTCATGGCAAATAGATGAATAAACAGTGAAAACAGTGACAAACTTTATTTTCTTGGGCTCCAAAATCACTGCAGATGGTGACTATAGCTATGAAATTAAAAGATGCTTACTCTTTGGGAGAAAAGCTGTGACAAACCCAGACAGTGAATTAAAAAGGAGAGACATCACTTTGCCAATAAAGGTCCGTCTAGTCAAACCTATGGTTTTTCCAGTAGTCATGTATGGATGTGAGAGTTGGACCACGAAGAAAGCTGAGAGATGAAGAACTGATGCTTTTGAACTGCGGTGCTGGAGAAGACTCTTGAAAGTCCCTTGGACTGCAAGGAGATCTAACCAGTTAATCCTGAAGGAAATCAGTCCTGAATATTCATTGGAAGGACTGATGCTGAAGCAGAAGCTCCAATACTTTGGCCACCTGATATGAAGAGCCAACTCATTAGAAAAGACCCTGATGCTGGGAAAGACTGAAGGCAGGAGAAGAAGGGGATGACAGAAGACGAGATGGTTGGATGGCATCACCAAGTCAATGGACATGAGTTTGAGCAAGCTCCCGGAAATTATGAAGAACAGGGAAGCCTGGCGTGCTACAGTCCATGGTGTCACATAGAGTAGGGCGTGACTGAGAAACTGAATAACTACAGCAATAACATCACACTCCCAATTCCTGTTGTTGCTGGCAAATTTTCTTGTTATTTCATTGGAAATCTTTGAGGAGGATATTAGATGAGATTACTAAATTTTGTAATTTTTAAGAAGTTAAGGCATTTATGTTTCTGATGAAAAAAATGTAGCCAGGGGTTTCATAAATATACTTGTAGTAACCTATCTCTTATTCTGACTGTTTCGGATAATACTTTTTTAAGTATTTAAGCTGAGTGAATCAACACTAGTGGCCTTACATAAAATTTTCTGTAAAAAATGACTTAAAGTTTTAAGCACAATTTTAAAAAATTAAAGTTCTTAGCATTATTTTTTCTTATTATAATAGTAATACAAGTTGATAGTAGAAAATTGATAATGTAGAAAAATCTTACTAAAGCTCTCCATAAAGAAAATTGATAATGTAGAAAAATTTGACAAAGATAACTACCATTTTCCATGGGCATATTTATACATTTCAAAACATAATTGTGGTCATTCTAGATATGGGTCAGAAAGATCCCGTGGAGAAGGGTTGGCTACTGAATCCAGTATTCTTGGGCTTGCCTTGTGGCTCAGCTGGTACAGAATCCTCCTCCAATGCGGAGACCTGGGTTTGGTCCCTGGGTTGGGATTATCCCCTGGAGAAGGGAAAGGCTACCCACTCCAGTATTCTTGCCTGGAGAATTCAGTGGACTGTATAGTCCATGGGGTCACAAAGAGTCAGACATAACTGAGCAACTTTCACTTCACTTCACTTAGATATAATATTTGAGTTCTTATTTTACTTAATTTATTATGAATGTTTTTCTTGTTATTAAATTTTCTCTTAGCTGTTTTATAATATAAAGTTTGAAAACTATATTGTAATTCTCTCAGTGTTATTCGGAGTAAGATTATTGTACATTTTCCCCTGATGGCTGCATGTCATTTTTATACTATGTTACAGTGGAATTATGCCTCTGAAAATTTCTGTAAGATATAGGTATTTATTTTTTTACTCTTTTTCTTTACCCTTTGATGTTAACTCATGTTGATGAGCTAGTCTCTTGGGATTTCCCTCTTACTTTCAAATTTTCTACATAGAGTATGTATGAAATTTAATATCTGATCTTTGATTCATGCATTCTGATTGTTCATTTATTTGTGCTATTGATGAGATGTGTTACTTAATCCCAGCTTCCTGATCTTGGAAACAACCCTCAGAATAGTACCTTCCATACAAAATTGTTGTGAGGATTAAATTATGTAATTCATGTATACCGCTTGGTACTCTATCTTGCAGTGGGATAGTAGTTACAATATTTAAGAAAACTGATGCAGTATTTGAACTGACAAAGCAGAATAGATAACAGCACAGACTATTGCAATCGATTTAACAGTGGCTTTCCTGGTTTGAGGTGAGGGCGCTAATTAAATGCATAGTTGTAATAGTGATGAAAATGATGATGATGTTTCGACAAGAAGTTAACCAAAATAAGTTAGTATTATGCCCCCAATAGACAATAAACAGGAGCTTTCATATATAAACTTTACTTCTCATCTAAAATTTTAAAATTCTGTTGTAATATTAATTTGAAAATATATTAGATCTCATATGAAGATATAAAATATCTCATGCTTCAAATTCCTTTGTTTTAGTTCACATTTCAAGTAAAATTTCTAGTAAGCCTTGAAGCTTTTCTTTCCCAAAGAAGATAAACATTTATACAAATTAATTTAAAAGTTAAATTATGTTAACTTTTATGTTAACATAAATTATGTTAAATTTTACACTAATGTATTTTCTTGAAGTAAGACCTTAGCATCACACAGTTTTCTGTATTTATTGATCCTTTTTTATTATACCAAAAGACAGATGATACATTTTGGCATCTTTATCAGAGCTATGCTATTTATTCTTGTGTTAACTTAATAGAGGTAGTAGTCACATGCATCTTTAAGGAATATGTTAAAATGTATTCCTTCCTTGGGCTCCTCTGGCGGCTCAGATGGGAAAGAATGAGCCTGCAGTTTGGGAGACCCAGGTTTGATCCCTGTTTGGAAAGATCTCCTGGAGAAGGGAATGGCTACCCACTCCATTATTCTTGCCTAGAGAATTCCATGGACAGAGGAGCCTGGTGGGCTACAGTCCCTGGGGTTGAAAAAGAGTCGAATGACTGAGGGACTAACACTTTGACCTTTCATTCTCTCCTTAGCTATAATGTTTATGTTTCACTTTCTAATTTATAGTGTTATGTTTTAGAGATCATAGGCAAAATTTGTCCCTTGTTAGTATTTTGAGACATATGTTAAAAAAAAAAAAGAAAAAACACGGGAAATGCCATTTGTACTTTGCTGTCATTCAGATTTGTAAAATAAATTCTTTGTCTTTATGGCAGTTATACTTGATATTGTTATGTAGATATTATCAACCTCTTTCTTTTTTTTACTATTTTCTTTAGCTTGCCAGTGTAATGGACATAGCACTTGCATCAATAATAATGTGTGCGAACAGTGTAAAAATCTTACCACAGGAAAGCAGTGTCAAGACTGTATGCCAGGTTATTATGGAGATCCAACCAATGGAGGGCAGTGTACAGGTAATTATTTTTTCTTTCACTTCAGTGTATTTTTACTATAGGAAAGAAAATTAAGAAAGATGTACCTCTTGTGGAAATATACTTTATTAAAGAAGTTTTTTCCATTGAGTATTTTTGGAAGATAATTTGTATTTATTGAGGACTATGAACTATAAAAATTCTGTGATATACTTGCTTTAAGGAACCCCTACTTTTTCTTATTTGAAAATGAATACAAATTTACTGTAGGAAACTTAGCAAATGCAGACAAATTAAATTTAGAAATTATATGTAATCTCAGTATTCTGAAAAAAATCACTGCTTATAGCTTATTTTTAATAATAGTGATCACTTTACATTTTAATTTAGAAATAAGAAATAAAGATTTTGTGTATGCCTTATATCTGGTGAGTTTTTGTTTGTTTGTTTTTGACAAGGTGATATAGCATAAGGTTTAAGAGAATGGGTTTGGAATCAGTCGTTGGCTGAAATTCCAGTTCTGCTACTGTTTAAATGTATGGCTTTCGTTAATTCACTTAACCTTAGAGAGTGCTTCATTTTTCTCGTATGTAAAAGTGAAATGATAATGCTTCATTGGATTGTTGTAAAGATCAAATGAGGTCATGTGTAATGGAGGCACATGTCATAGGAATTAAAACATTAAAAGAGCATTGTAAGTGCTAACTATTACCATGTCATTTTTTTTGATCCTGAAATCCTTTTATTTATTTTCTTTCTCCGTCTTGCTACTTCTTTCTTCCTATTTTTTTAAAAAGAAATTTTGGTCTTTAAAAAAAATTTCTTTCAAATTGTAATTTTTCAATGATCCTTCTTCATTTCTCAGTTGGTCTTTGTTCCTTAAATCTTCAATCTACTTTTTCTAAATGGAGAGTGTCTGAAAAGCACTCACAGAAAAGCTGTGGTAAGATGAGGAATCTTTAGAGAGAACTGGGCCTGGGGCTGATCTAGACAAAAGTTTTAACACTACCTGCATTTTAAAACCACCTGGAGAGCTTTTTAAAAAATACGGATGTTATATCCATGGCTGATTCGTGTCAATGTATGACAAAAACCACTACAATATTGTAAAGTAATTAGCCTTCAACTAATAAAAAAAAAAAAAGAAAAAATATGGATGTCTAGGCCACTCCCTGAAATAATTAAATCAGCCTCTTAGTTTAGGTCCTCGGGTGATTCTTGGTTCTTTAAGTCTTCCCAGATGACTCAAATTTACACTCAGAGTCGAGAAGACAGAGTGATGAGCTTATGCCTTAGAGTCAATGAAATTGCTCTGGCGATAGCAGGTGTCCATCTGTTGCTGGTGAGTGGAAATTTTGCTCTGCCCTGGTTGAGGCTCTCACACATGAATTGGTTGACACTTGCATTTTCTGTGCTTGAGATACTGTACTCACAGCTTATATTCATTGTCTCATTTCAAGACAACTGTAAGGGAGGAATCACAATTGCTTCCATTTTAGGTACAGCCGACTATACAAAGAAGTTAAGTAAAATGCTCAAGATTATACTACTACTAACAAGCAAGAAATATCTGATTCTTAGACCTAACTCTTGACTATTAATGCAGAAGTAGTGTTAATGTGAACAGGGAGGATCCAGGAACCCTTAGCCAAAAGCCACAGCTTAGTGCTGTGTTCAATGTGTAAAGAAGCTGCAGGAGGTATCTGTACAGTGGAATCCAAAAAATTCAGAGCTTGTCTATTATAATCATAGTATTATATTTTGTTATTTTATGTTTGTTGAGTACAAAGAACCATCCTGTTTTCAAAAGCTTTTTACTACTGAATTTTCTTTAGCCTAGAATTTCATTGGAAATAAAATGTATTTCAGATAGATTAGATAGATGATTATTTGTAATTAAAAATAGGGCTTCCCAGGTGGTGCAGGTTATAAAGATTCTGCCTGCCAATGCCGGAAACACAGGTTTGATCCCTCGTTTGGGAAAATCCCAGGAGTAAGAAATGGAAACCCACTCTAGTATTCTTGCCTGGAAAACTCTGTGGACAGCAAAGAGTCAGACATGATTGAACTACGGAGCGTCTGATTGAACTACTGAGCGCAGACACCCAAACACACACACACACATAAGTGCTTTGTTTCCGTGACTTTAAGGAAAAAAAAATTTCTGCTTTTTTTTGTTTTTTTTTTACATTGCAATTTATATGTGTTTACAACCTTTCAAATATTTATATAGAATTGTTTTAATTTACTTTTATAAAAGTTATTTTATTTATGCTCTCCAATTAATTTTAATGTCTATATAATAGTGCATGGGGATTTTGTGAAGTAATTTGCTTAATATTTTTTTGTTTTTTATATATTGCTTCCATCCATAACCCCATTTTTAGAGGGTTTTTCTTAAATTGGGGTCAAATTCACAAAGCATAACATTAACCATTTTAGGTATACAATTCAGTGGTGTTTAGTACCTTCATAATATTGTGAGACCATCAACTCCATCAAGATCCAAAAAATTTTCATCACTCCAAAAGAAAATATCATACTTATTAAGCAGTTATCCCAAGTCCCTGGCAATCACTAATCTGCTTTCTTTATGTATTTACTTATTCTGAATATTTCATATAAATGGTATTATAAAATGTGTGACTTTGTGACTGGCTTCTTTTACTTAGCTATAATATTTTTAATATTCTTTCTTTTACTATCTATCAATACTTCATTCCTTTTTACTGATGAATATTATTCCATTGTACACATATATCACAATAGTTTTCCCCATTTATTTATTGATTCACATTGCTTTTTTTCCACCTTTTGGCTGTTGTGAATACTGCTACTGAGAACATTACTGCACATGTTTTCTGGGAGGGATTTCAAGTTTTTGGCTGTTTTATGTATCAACTAGAAGAGGAACTGCTGAGCCATTTGGTAATTTAATGTTTAACCTTTTGGGGAGCTGCCAAGTTGTTCAAATTGTTTTCCATGGGGGCTGCATGATTTCACATTCCCATCAGTACTGTGGATGATTCCAATTTCTCTATGTTCTTGCCAACACTTATTATTTTACATTTTTTAAAAGCTTCTAGCTGTGGTGATAGGTGTAGAAATATTTCGCATTGTCATTTTGATTTGTATTTTCCTCATGACTAGTGATGAATTTGTTGGCCATTGTATATAGTTTTTGGAGAAATGTCTATTCAAGTTCTTCACCACTTAAAGAAGAATTTAAAAAATTGTGGTATGTACGTAACATAAAATTTTCCTTAAAAGAGTGTGTAGTTTAGTTGCATTAAGGGCATTCACATTGTGCATTCATCATTACCATTCATCTTGAAAGTTTTTTCATCTTTCAAAGCTAAAACCATATAACCATTAAATAATGAATCTTAATTCCTCAACTCCAGCCCCTGCCAGCCACTCTTATACTTTCTGTCATTTTGAATATGATTACTCTAGATACCTCAGATAAGTGGAATTTTCATAATTTGTCCTTGAGTGATTGGCTTTTTTCAGTTATCATGATGTCTTTAAGGTTCTTTCATGTTTTAGCATGTGTCAGAATATCCTTCCTTTTTATTGCTGAATAATATTCTGTTGTATATGTATACTACATTTTCTTGATCTGTTCATCTGTTGATGAATACTTGAGTTGCTTACATCTTTTCACTATTATAAGTAATATTGTAATGAATAATATGGGTGTACAAATACTTGTTCAATTTTTTTTTTTTGGTCTCTTTATGTGCCTATTTCACACTTGTATGTCTTTGGAGAAATGTCTATTCAAGTCCTTTGTTCACTTTTTATTTGGATTATTTGGTGTTGTTGTTGAATTCTGAGTTCTTCATATATTCTAGTCATTGTTGTTATTAATTGCTAAGTCCTTTCTAACTCTTTTGTGACCCCGGGGACTATAGCCCATCAGGCTGCTTTGTCCATGCAATATCCCAGGCAAGAATACTGGAGCAGGTTGCCACTTCCTTCTCCAGGGGGTCTTTCCAACCCAGGGATCGAACCCGCGTCTCCTGCATTGGCAGGCGTATTCTTTACCACTGAGCTACCAGGGAAGCCCTTATTCTAGTTAGGAGGCCCTTATCAGACATATGATTTGCAAATATTCTCTCCCCTTGTATAGGCTGTCTTTTCACTGTCTAGACAGTGTTCTTAAAGGCACAAAAGTTTTCAGTTTTTTGACAAAGTCCAGTTTATCTCTTTTTTTCTGTTATTGCTTGTGCTTTGGTGCATATCTAATAATCCAAGAATATAATGTCATGAAGATTACGCAAAGTATTATTTTAATTTTTTTGCCGACATAGGCAAAAGGAACCTTCAAATAACTCTATTAGCTAAAAGCTGTTTTAAATTAAAATAAGTTATTATTATTCCGACAGGCAGAGTGCTTTTAGAAATATGTTTCCCTTTGGGAGTCATACTTCTCTGCTTGGTTTAAGATTAATTCAGTTATTTCATATTATTTTTGTTGCTGACATTATACATCTGTAGAGCTGAGGTACAATGCAATAGAAAATTAAAGAGAATGAAAGATAAATACCTTTCTTTTTTACTGTTGCACATTCTCTGGTAGTTTATGAAGCTTTAAATAATTCCTTATAGTTTCCTTGTTTCCCAAATTTGGCAAAATAATATTTTGCTGTCTGTGACTTTTCTATGGTGATGTGATATATGAAATTCATTTTTATTTCTTATAGCCACATTAGTTATCTAACTAAATAAAAAATATGCCACATGCAGTGAATTATATTTAATGTGGTAAAGGCTAAAATCAATTTATAAAAAAATGAGAGGTAAAGTTTATTTCTTCATTTTTTCATTCACCTCATTGAGAAAAGTTCATTTTTCCCTTAGTATTTGCATTTATTAAAGTTCAAAGTCCATAGTGATATTAAGGGAAGTGAGGAAATAGACTTATATTTAAATGGTAAGGCTTAAATGTACTGTAGATTTAGATATTCTTTTAAAAATTCAGCCTACTAAAGCCCTTTAACATTGTTGTAAATATATAAATGTACTTACATTTATTA